TATGCTGGATACCACCACGAGTCCTTACTAGGGTCGGAGCAGGGCGGCCCCTTCCTCTGTCTTAAGTGTTCTTGCAGCAGATTAATTTGCACGGAACTAGCAAGAACTAGCAAGACGCCGTCGCTCCCACGAGCGAACCAGGTCTCGCCCTGGCATGGCTCCGAGGGAAGGCCAGAGCCACGACGGGCGTGATCCAACAACGGAGGAGCGAGGCGGCTCAACCCTGTCCGCTCACCTCCAAGACACCCGCCGTGCTCAGCGCCTCCGGATCCCGTCGCAAAGTGTTTCCTCTGCGGGGAAAGGCGGTGGGAAGCCCCTCCATTCGGGCCTTCCGCTTCTGTGCCTCCTTGGAGCTCCTCCTCGGACCTGGCGGTACCTCCCGGACGACGGACGCATCCTTAGTTCTCCCGCTACCCGGCTCTCCAAATGGCAGGGGCGAAAACTCTTCGCTGTGGCCGAGACAGATCGAAGAGAGGAGGAGACGCGCCTCTCCCTGCCTGCCCCGCCGCCAGGCTCAACCCAAGTGCGGCAGTTGCCAGGGAGGCGCCATCCAGCAGCCGGCACCCTCCCCGCTGCCCTCTGCACGCGGGATTCCCCAAGCTTCCGGTCCGCTGGGTCCCTGAAACCGCCCCCAAGGATCCCCTTCAGAGGCCCGGAAAGCGCAATGGCTTCGATCGGCCGGAGACGGGCAACTTCCTCGGTCCGCGTGTCCCGCGCGAGGCCCGGAGGATGAGAGAGCCAGCGAGCGAACGAGGCGGGGGGAGCGGAGTCGGCCTGGGGGGCGGCAGGGAGGAGGACGAGGGCCTTCTTCGCCTCCGGTCTCAGGCTTCGCCGCAATCCATTTCCTACGGGAAAGGACTCCTTCGCGAGCAGGTTTGGGCTCGCCTTCCCCGAGAAGAAGAGTCTGAAGACTCGGCGAGAAGGCTTTGTCCGTCGGAAGGCGGCTCGCGGGGACGCGGCGGCGGCGGGTCTTCGGGCCTCCGCAACTATGGGAGCCAGTGCGGGCTCGGAAGTGCGCCGGGTCCCACTAGAGCGGCCGATGA